TGTGACCATGCAGGGCTGGATTATTTTAGAGCCTGGCTAGTGTCCATGGACGCACAGCACGACCAAAGCAAACTTTTCCTCTTTTAATCATCTAAATAAACCGTGGATTGATTGCTTTAGCTTTTGCACCCAGAGTCCCACGTTCTCCTCTGTAGTTCCAGATTTCTGACGATTTCCAGATTTGCCGTAGCGTCCCGTGGGCTTTGTGGGGTGAGCAGCCGTGCGGGGGGGGTTGCCAGGCACACCAGGCAGGAGAGGGGAGCATGCTGCAGATTGCAGGGGTCCCCGCAGGTTGGAGTTCCCACAGGCAGGAGTTTAGGCAGCATCATGCTGACATCCACTTTCCCACGGGCAGCCTGAGCTCTCCAGCCAGGGGACAACAAACCTCCCCAGCCCCTCTTGCCGGGGCCCAGAAGCCTACTGCAAAAACTGTCATGCAAAGCCTGCCGTGTGGCAGCCCCTCCGGAGCTGTGCCGCGGGGGTGCCGCTGCCCCACATGCTGCTCATGGCCGGGGCTCCTCTGTTATTTTCTTTGCTTGCTTTTGAGGAGAGAAAAGATAATTTTAAAATGTTTTTAAAGCCTCATCCAAAGCTGGGGGGACTTTTTCTTAATATTTGCCCATAAAGCTAGGCTGGGGCTCTTGGTGAGCACCTCCTCGCCCTGGCCCTGGGGGGGACCGGTGCCATTTGCACGTAAGAAGTGGAGGTTTTTGCTCTGTTGCAGGCTCATCGCGGGGACCCAGCCCCCTCACCATGGGGGCACAGGACACCCTTCCCGTTGCTGCCGCCTTCACGGAAACCGTCAATGCATACTTCAAAGGGGCCGACCCGAACAAGTAGGTGCTGATTGACGGGGCCTGGGTGTCAATACAGGGGGTCCTGGGGTCAGGACAGGCTTGAGGTGCTATTGAGGCTTTGGTGAGCATCTCAAGGGGTGGGGAGGGAGGAAAGGAGGTGCTCTGGGCTTGGCACATGCGTCAGTGTACTGCACCAGGTGGGGGTCCAGGGTCAGGATGCTCCTGGGGCATCCCACAAGCATAGGTCCCCATCCCTAGCAGGCTGCCAGCCTTTGCTTCAGCCTGCTCTGGTTTAGGACCACAAGAGGCTTGTTCCCCCGGCGCGGCGGGGGGGGAGCGGAGGGCTGTCACTGCACCATCCCTGGTGCGAATCCTCCCTTCCTGCTGCGTTTTGAGCCCCCCGTTTCCTCCCCCCTCGGTCTCCGTGTTTGGTGCTACAGGTGTATCGTGAAGATCACGGGGGAGATGGTGCTGTCGTTTCCAGCGGGCATCACCCGACATTTTGCCAACAACCCTGCTCCGGCTGTGCTCACCTTCCGCGTGCTGAACTACAACAGGCTGGAGCATGTTCTGCCAAACCCCCAGCTCCTCTGCTGGTAAGCCCCCACCTCACCAGCATCCCAAAGGAAGGCGGGTTTCCACAAAAGTAGGGTGCTTTGCAAAAACACATGGCCCGAAGTATCTTCCTTGGAAGCCTGCCCTGATTTTGGGAAGGAAACTCTCAAGCCCTTAAATATTTGCGGGAATACTCCCTCTGAGAGCAGCCCCTTTGCCAGGCAGAGAGCATCAGCAGAGAGGAGCAAGTGCTTTGATGGGGTTTGCTTGTTTTGTGCCTCACTCTGCTGATTAGACCTCCTGTTTGCAAAATGAGATGATCTACAGGTTGCATCTGCTGTGCTTCCCCAGAAGTATCTGAGGACAAGCCAGAGATGTGCGGGAGGGAGGCAGTATTTCTCTAAATGTGGGGTTAAATGCAGTCCCAGCTGGTGGCCGGCGCTGCTGTCCTGCATGCTTTGTAGAAAAGCTTTCTTCTGCCGAGGTGGCTTATGCAAAGGGTTAATTCTCCCTCTGTGCAGTGACAACACACAGAGTGACGCCAACACGAAGGAGTTCTGGGTCAACATGCCAAATCTGATGACTCACCTAAAGAAGGTATCGGAACAGAAACCGCAAGCCACCTATTACAATGTGGATATGCTCAAATACCAGGTAGGGGTTTTTTTGTAAGATAAAACTGTGCCAAAAATGCGTGCTTAACTTATAGATTTAAAAGATGGTATTTCCCTAGTGCAGAGTGGAGATAACGTGAGGTGGGGGCATGCTATCCCACTAGTCCCTTCTGTATGTCACTAGATTGCCTGATTTTGAGCCCAGTACAAACTTTCTATGAAAATACAAGGTATTGTCTCTTCTGAAACCAAATGCAATTACTGCGTCTGTAAAATGGGATTTCTCCCTTCACCCCTATGGAAACTAAATGTTTTTTCTGTCATTTTGGAAGGTATCTGCCCAGGGTATTCAGTCTACTCCATTAAACCTTGCAGTGAGCTGGCGGTGTGACCCTGCAAGCACTGACCTCCGCATTGACTACAAATACAATACAGAGGCAATGACCACACCGGTAGCTCTAAACAACGTCCAGTTCCTTGTCCCCGTCGACGGAGGAGTAACCAAACTTCAAGCTGTGCTTCCTCCTGCTGTCTGGTAGGAATTGCTCACCCAACAAAGAGCTCGTTTGCTATCTCTGCCACGTCCCCACCTGAAACAGCTGTCCTGCCTGCTGACTGCAGAGGCGGGATCGCCCTTGGGAGGTGTCTGTGGGCAGGAGCTGGGGGCACGCTGGGGACCCAAACCTGTCCTACTCTTGCAGGAGGAAGCATGCAACCCCACTCTGATTTTCTTTCTTGCCATTCCCACAAGCAAGCGGTCAGAGCTGAACGCATGTGTGCAGGCAGCAGAATAACAACCCTTATTTTGTGTTTTGGCTACTTTTATCCGGGGCTCAGAGGGATGCACAGCCGTTGCTGCCGTAGGCACTGACATGCACATTTGCAGCAGGGAAGCAGAGCATGGCACAGCCCCGCTGCCTCTCGCCCATCGCTCACCTGCAATGCAAGAGCGGCATTTTCCTGCTCGGGTCAAACCCAAAGCCAAGCTCCCAGAACTGCAGCTCTGGAGAGCGGCACCAGAGCTGCTCCCCCAGCCCACACAGCCTTTAGCAAAATTCAAATGACTCCTTCGTAATTTCTTGTTTCCTACAGAAATGCTTTTCTTCATGTGTTTTTAGGAATGCTGAACAGCAAAGGATATTGTGGAAGATCCCTGATATCTCTCAGAAGTCAGAAAATGGAGGTAATCCTGCAAATGTGCATGTTATTAATTCTGAATACTTAAATCAGACACTGACCTGTTTATCATGTCTGCACACAAGTCCAGACACACAGATTCCTAAAAACATCGAGTGAGGATGCTATTTAAAGCTAGGAGCAAAGAGCTTTGAAAAGCGGGGATACGTGCCACTGGTGCTGTTTTGCCAACCGCTTTGGCACCATCAAAGGGTATTAACGCACTGGGTTTGGATGTAGTTAGTTGCCAAGTCCTTTGCTCCGTTGACCCTCTCCTGCATTTGAAGGCTGAGGCCCCATGTTGCATTCCCATCGGGGAGACCACAGCATCCCACGGGTCACTTCTCCATGTGTCACCCACACAGCTCAGCTGCTTCATATCACTGGGGTGTCTGAAAAGTAAAAATCTGCTGGGAGGATGAGGGGGTTCCCCAGGGGATGCTGCTGGCTCAGGTACCACTGTGGGAGGCGGGGGAAGTCATTGCCTTTGCTGGCAAATCTGGCCCTGGGATGCGCAGTGTGCCTCTCCGGGTTTGTAAGGGTCTCGTGCGGGACTTTTAAATTGCAGGTGTGGGGTCTCTACTGGCCCGATTCCAGCTCTCGGAGGGGCCGAGCACCCCGGCCCCCCTGGCTGTGCAGTTCACCAGCGAGGGGAGCACGCTGTCCAGCTGCGACATTGAGCTCGTCGGCGCCGGTTACCGCTTCTCCCTCATCAAGAAGAGGTTTGCGGCAGGTAGGTGCCTCGCCAGCGGCTCCTCTTGGGATGGCAGATGACAGAATCATAGAATCATTTAGGTTGGAAAAGACCTTTAAGATCATCAAGTCCAACCGTTAACGTAGCATTGCCAAGTCCACCACTAAACCATGTCCCTAAGCACCACATCTACACATCTTTTAAATCCCTCCAGGGATGGCAACTCAGCCCCTTCCCTGGGCAGCCTGTTCCAATGCTTGACAACCCCTTCAGTGAAGAAATTTTTCCTAATATCCAATCTAAACCTCCCCTGGCACAACTTGAGGCCATTTCCTCTCGTCCTTTCGCCAGTTACTTGGGAGAAGAGACCGACACCCACCTCGCTACAACCTCCTTTCAGGTAGTTGTAGAGAGCGATGAGGTCTCCCCTCAGCCTCCTTTTCTCCAGGCTAAACAACCCCAGCCCCCTCAGCCGCTCCTCATAAGGCTTGTTCTCCAGACCCCTCACCAGCCTCGTTGCCCTTCTCTGGACACGTTCCAACATCTCAACATCCTTCTTGTAGTGAGGGGCCCAAAACTGAACACAGTATTCGAGGGGCGGCCGCACCAGTGCTGAGTACAGGGGCACTATCACTTCCCTGCTCCTGCTGGCCACACTATTTCTGATACAGGCCAGGATGCCGTTGGCCTTCTTGGCCGCCTGGGCACACTGTCGGCTCATGTTCAGCCGGCTGTCGACCAACAGTAGGGTCCACCTACTGTGAAGGGGCACAGGGGTGCAAGTGACCCCTGAGCCAAAAAGGAAGCTACAGCACAGGATCAAGTGGGCTGGAGAAAAGACCAAGCAAAAAACAACCTCCTGTTGTGAGGACTGGAAGAAAGGCAGGAAAGCCAGGGCATGAAAAACAATCTGTGGCAAAACAAAGCTGAAAGCAACATGGATCAGGTGGTATGAGAGGATAGAGGCTTAGAAGAGGGGCCTGCATGGGCTGTGTTGTGAAAAATCCAGGTTGCTTGTGACTGCAATAGGGCCTTTAGTCAACGGCCTTTGCATGCCAAGGGAGGCTCTGTCCACAGATGCAACACAACTGGATTTAACTCCATTCACCACAACTCTCTGGGCCTGGCCATCCAGCCAGTTTTTTACCCAGCGCAGAGTACACCCATCCAAGCCATGAGCAGCCAGTTTCTCCAGGAGAATGCTGTGGGAAACAGTGTCAAAGGCTTTACTGAAGTCTAGGTAGACAACACCTGCAGCCTTTCCCTCATCCACTAAGTGGGTCACCTTGTCATAGAAGGAGATCAGGTTAGTCAAACAGGACCTGCCTTTCATAAACCCATGATGGTCCCCTCCAGCTGTGCAGGCATGCCTGGGACTGCCCTTGCTGTATACTTGTTGACCGTTCAAGCCCAGACGTCCTGCTGCGGCATGGTGTGACGGGGCTGGCTGGCAGCAGAGGGGCAAAAGCTCCCTTGCATGAAATAAATCCTGCTACCGCTTACAAAAGCCTTGAATTTCATGGGCTCTTTTCTGCTTGTGGGTCCCACGTGAAAGGCAAGGTCTGGGGATCTCCAGGAAGAGCTTTTGCCCCATTGCTGCAGAGAAATACAAGTATTTTTCCTTTTGCCCCATTGCTGCAAAGACAAGCATTTTTCCATGTGCCGCTCATGCATCACAGCAGGGTGGCCGTGGGTGCGGGGCCGGCGGAGGCGGGCGGCCATCCCCTGGGAACCGGGTCTGCTCCCTCCCCGCAGCTGATTTCTGATCCCATTTCTAGGTAAATACTTGGCTGATAACTGATGGAAGCTTATGCAAGTCTATGGAAAATAATATGGAAAATACCCAAGGACTGCTGTGCGTGGAACGGGTTTTAATTACAGTTTAAGGAAAATGAACTAAATCCTGCACTCGGGACATTTCTGTTGGAAGTGTCAACAACTTTCAGCATTTTTTCCTTGGAAAACACCGTCTTGACCAGTCCTACAGTATTTACTTCTAGATGTAACATTGTTAATGGTTTTAAAATGTAATTATTGTATTTGTAAATTGTACTCATTCCAGTAAGGCTGTATTTTGGCAGTTAGACACTTGAGTTTTAGCATTTTACCATTCATGAAATGGATGTAATTTAAACTGTGGTATATAAATTTAATAGTAGTACTGTTGAATGGCACAATGCTTACAGAGGTAGATTACATTTTGTCAATATATACGATTTAAATACAGTACTGATAGCTGTTATGAAGGGGGTGCCTCATAAAGAGAGAGTGAAGTAGAACCGACATGCTGATTTACTTTTCTTCAGTCCTTAGTATGTCTCACAGTGATGAATAAAAAGCTCTATCTTCAGGTTTAGCTGGTTTAACTCCAGAAAAATATTGCTGTAAATGTGGAGGTTCCTAATACAGTCTCCCAGAAAAAAGCAGAAAAAAATGTCACTTCTATAAAGGGTATTTACTTCAAATTTTTTTTGCAAGCAACCTCCATGAACATGCCCTTGTTCTCTTACAGCCGCAGATTAACTGTCAGGAGTCCCAGCAGCACGTGCACAGGCGACAAGCGCTTCTCTTTGCCCCATGCCCTTATATTTTGCAGAGATGCAGATAAGGAAATAAGCAGACAAAGAGACTGGGTAGTAAATCTGAGCTTACAGCACTGTCCAGAAAAGTTATTGCTGTTTTTAAGGATGCATTTTCCAAGCAGTCTCCAGATTTTTGGTTGCATTTCTACGTTCCTTTGCTTGCCTTTTCCTTTTATCTCTCCATTTTTGAAAGCCCCACGGGTTTAGAAAATGCTTTAAAGACATGCAACCCCCCCGCCTTTCCATTTTACCACATAGGCAGGAAAGCATACATATATACAAACATTGGAGAATGAACACAGCCCAAGTCTGACCCTTGGTGGGATACCCAGGGTTCGCTGAGGCCAGTGCCGGGGGAGCAGGACCAGCATGGGGGGCTGCCGAAAGCCTGCGGGGCAGGAGCCCGCCTCACTGGCATCAGGAGCAGCTATCTCGTGGAGATGGGAAAATGCATAAAAGTGATAAACTGGAGGCTGCAGGGGAAAAATTGTCCCTCTGTGTTTTCCTTGAGCCGACGCAGGCTCAGAGCTGGGCTCCGGCACTGTGCACTGCTCCTCTCTGTGCATTGCCTGTGCAGCGTTTGATTTTTAGTTGACTTTAGTCTCAGCCTGCTGCTGGCAACATGCTGATAGTGTGCATGGCATTAATGGAGCAGCATCTGCCAAGATGGAGAACTTGTTTTAATGGCAGAATTTGGTGATATGGGGAAAAAAGAAGGAATCTTTTCAAAATTAAATGCAGCTGCTGTTCAGATGCACAGAGAAGCATAGGAGCGTCCGCTGAATGTGGTGCTGGGGACTTTGGAAATGTGTGAGATCACAAGTAGTGCTAATTTTACAGTCACAAATGTTGCCAGGATTATTAGGCTTGTACATTTGTGTTGGAAAACTTAGACTGTGCATGTTGGGAAGTGCTTGCTCACAGAGCAGTTTGGAGTGACATAAGAGAACAGAAATCCATGCCCATCTTAAAAGAAAGTAAGAAAATCTGGAGATATTTCAGTTCTGAGATGACTCCCAGACTGAGATATGTATGATAGGGTGGTTGATTTGTGTGTATGCTCACAAAAGGTATCAACACAGAAGATAAAGCACAATTCATACATCTTTGCAGTTTTTGACAGTAAACCTGCCAGTACTTCTGGATGGAGTGTTAAACTCCATTAATAATTTTCCCCCTGAAATGGAAATATGTATAAACTGTGTAACCTACCCCTTTCTGACATAGGAATATAGGGCAAAATCTAAGAATCAGTTTTTGCATAATTGGTTCATGCTGTGTACAATTGTTATAAACTCATGCTTCCAAAAGAGATCTATGTCATAGTCCTGAAAATAAGGATTTTATAATGTAAATATTACCAGAACATAGATATTTTACTTTATATTTCATTTGAAAGACAAGGTGTTTACATTAGCATTGGGTTTTTAAATGCTTTTTAAACAAAAAAAAACCCATAACCCAAAGCTCCCAAGCTTGTCCCATTTGTGCTGTCCCACAAAATGGAGGTCACATTTTCCGGGTGCATGTCGGTGCAGGGATGCAGCCCTCGTGGCCTGGGTAGAGAGATGGTAAAGTCCTGCACCCTTTCTGGGGCGAATTGCTTGGCAGACCTGAATTTGACATGCCAGCACCTTGGCAGCCTCACAGGGACATGGCCGCCCTCCAGCCACCGGCAGGTGACACAAAACAGCTATTCCCAGCCTGCAACACTGGGACCAAAACCAGCGGTTTGGGACAGATTTTTTGCATACTGCTTTTGCCAATTTTTTTGCATAGGGTTTTAGTTCACTAGGCGTTTGCTCAGGAGCGTTGAGCTGCGTGTCTCCGCTTTCCCTCCCAGCATGACTGCCCTTCTGAACTCCTTCGCAAGGAGACACCGGTCCACACTCACTCACGGTTTTGTTTTCCTGCCCTGCTGGTGTCTGAGCAGAGAGGCAGAGCGGCAGAGTGCCCAGGGGATGCTTATTTTGTCAGGTATTTGTCTTCCCACATGCCGTACGAGCGTGGCAACCCAGCATTACCCCACGTGGTGAGGGGGAACAGACGAGTTGCGTTTCTAAGTCTGAAGTGCAGGAGCCTGGTCTTCTTTCCACATGGCTTTGAGAAGGTGTCAGCAGAAAAAAGATTATGAGCAGCAGCTTGGGATGTATCAGACTTAAATTTAGAGCACCAAATAGGGGCATATATAGGGATGTTTATCCCAAATTCCGGCTTCTGTAGTAGCGGCAAGAGCCCCTGGCTCCGGAGAGGGCACAGGGATGCACTGCCCTGTTGCATTCAGGGCACGCAAGCTCTGCAGGTTTCACCTCCGCTTTTAGGCAGGAAAAACTGCGTATCTTCAGGGAATGCATCTGTTTGGTACTTCCTGCCCGCTAGCAGAGAGCAGCTACATCAGCAGGGAGTTGAAAGGGTTGCGATTTGCTTGCCTGTAAGTCACCTGCATTTCTAGAGCTAAGCATCGGTGCGCTGTTTCTGAGCACGTGGTCCAGCAGGTCTTTGCCAAGTCAGGCTGAGGCTGAAAAGAGGTCTCAGCCCTCCAGCACTGCGCAGCGCTGGCACCCCTTAACTCAGCAGCACTGAGATCTAACTATCTGAGTAAAAAAAAGGGTAAATAAAGGAGGCATTCAACTAATAAATAAGTGTGATGCATGCACAGAAAGGCTTTAGCTTGGTTACTTCCGTGGACCTTTCCCTTTAGACTGTGTCCTCAGCCACCTCTCCCTGGAGGGATGTTCCTCTGGGGTCCCCGGTAGCCGCCAGCAGCCCATGCCTGCAGGGTGCGTGCTGACGGAGCAGCAGTGTTTTTCCCCACAGACACCTGCAGACTTGGGTCTTTAGATGTTAGGAGCAGGAAGTCTTTTTTTTTGCAACTTTTCTTCTTCTGTTTGTTCAAATATTCATGATTCTCAGCCAGCTTACAGTGCTTGTCACAGGAGACGTTTCAGACTGATTTTCTACTTTAACAATATTTCTTAATAACTATGAAATCACTCCCTAGTATGAAATAGTACCAAATAATAAGCTTTTCATTTGGTGTTTGCATTTGTTCTTAAATATCACTCCCCTGTTACAAAGCTGCTTCTTATTTTTGCTGTAAGGCCCCTGTCCATTAAACTCCTATTCCTGCCCAGCTGGTGTGAGTTCTCGGTGCGTACGTGTGTAGCTTCACTCAGAAAAGCTTTGTCACACGAACGCGATCTTGTACCAAGGAAGTTACGCAACTGCACGCTCCTTGCAATGCAGGCTGGACTTAAAGATGTTAGTGCTGTTATTTGGTATTTCAGTTAAATTAATTTTGTCTTCAGTATGCCCTTTCAGGATTTATCTATTAGAGGTTTTCTAAAACATAGGTGGAAAAAAAAAAAGTTTCTGTTAAAATGATATCCCATTTTGGCCAGGCAGGGAGGGGATGGGAAGGGAAGGCAGTTTCCCAGGCAGGCTGCAGGCACTGTCACACCCTCGCTGCAGGATGCTGTCAGGGTGTCTCTCACGGCAGTGCCCAGGGTTTGGGCTGCATGGGGAACACCAGAGAAATATGCTGCTTAAACTTAGAAGCCAGGCACACCTGCAGGTGAGACCCGTCTGCTTTCTGCTTTTAACATGATCACGGAGACCCAGGGTGGTTGTTTAGTGCCCAGTTGTAAAAACTGGTCAGCTCTTGCACGGGTGATTATTTTCCCACCAAGGTCCCTGCCGAGACCTTGCCGTGCTGCCCATGCCACCACAAGTTGTACTTGTGTTTGTTTACCTAATTCCGTATGACCCAAACCATCCAGCGATGGCACTCTGTCGAACCGCAGCCATACCCCAGCAGCCACTGTGCAACCCTTTCAGTGCTGCTCTCCGAGATTCCTGCAGCATGAGCATCACGTAAGGAATCACCGCTTCACTTTCTCCCAGCAGCAGCTTTTTTAAATGCCTGGACTGCAATGAAAAGGTGACATATTTTTAAATGACCTAAGAAAGAGTCAAACATCTTTTACTAAAAACATTTGGCCCTCCTCTGACCTCTCCCTCAGTTCCCCATCTCCTTCAGCAGCAGTGCGGTTCCTGTGCCCACCAGGCACGTGGTGCAGTTCTGTGTCTCAGAGGAATCCTGCTCCATTTCACCTTTTTTTTTTAAATACGGCCCACGGGTCTGTTACCCAAACACCCAATATCTACTTGAGAAAGCCACTTCAATACACTGAATATGGAGTGATTTTTTTCCCTACCCTTTTATTGTTTTTATATGAAAATGTCTTGGTTAAAAAACTTCATTTTGAAGCTTACCATGACCAAAATACGTAACATCATCACATTGTACTTTCCTGGTAAGAAATTACTGTCTCAAAGATTTCATTTCATAGCCAGAATTATTATTTTCTTCTTTTTCTCACAATTTCCCAAGGAAAGTAATTCTTGCAGAGCCGGGCAGTTTTTATGATCATCAGTATTTTAATTCTTTTTTCACTGCAAGGCTACAAAAAGATGTGCAGAAATATCCCCCACCTCCTGCGTGACCTCCCCTATTACTTTAGGAGGGACTGCAGATAATGCTGCTGACAATTGTTCTTAAAATCGCATGCATTAGTGTGGCGATGCTCTTCAAAGGTTTGCACACAAGCAGGACTTCACTACAGGCCAAGCAGTATGTGACAAAACACGCCAGGTTTTAGCGAGGTGTTCAGAATATCTTATTCCTCCGTTCGAAATCTCTCTCTGGACAGAGGGTGAATCGCTGTGGACATGCTGTCCTGCTGTTGGGTTCGTAATCCACGCAGGAGGGGTTTTCCACTCCAAAACGCTCTAAGGTTGATGAAATCACCCAGTTGCTCTGATGGCATAAACCGCATGGAGATGTTAGTCATGGTCTGAGAGAGGAATCGAGTCGAGTTGTGGTTTGAAGCTCTGTTCCTGCAGCCACGGGCTGGTGGGTGGAGGGCACAGGGTACAGGAGAACCTCGCTGTGACACCTCTGAACCCAGAGGAAGCCCCAGAAGTGAATTGGATTTCCCAGGGTATTGCCCTGTATCATTTTATGAACTCCCTCATGTATAAAATGTTTATAAATATTTGTGGATTAAGATACACAGGTCTATTTTTAAGATTTAAGTTAAATAAGTTAATTAATGGCTGGCCTTTTTTGCCTAAACGTGCAATGAGATATATTATACCTTTAGTCTACGATGGCCTAGGTACTGCTTAGTCTGTGATGAAAACTTTGCTGCTTACCTACTGTTCTCAGAGAAAAAACTGTAAAAAAACATACAGGTTTGTTGCACACAGACTATTGCAGCAAAGCTTTGTATTTGACCACTGGTAATATGAATGTGTTGTATTGACTTGTTGAAGATAATCATGAAACAACATATTTTAAATGTTACTTGCCTTATAGATTAGAATACAACTATGTGGATATCATTTTTGTAAATAATGTTTTTTATAAATGTCTCTTCTCCATTCTCCCCATCACCCATTTCACAAAATCTTGAATATGCAATTATTTACCATGCATAATGTTGCAACAAATAAATCCCCACGTCAGAACAAAGTTTATTAATTCTATACATAAGAACCACATCAAATACCCGATTGAGTTGCAATTTTAAGGTGATTTTTTTTTTCTTGAAAATAAACAAAAACCGTAAAACACTACTTTCTCCGAGTGAGCTTTGCTCCTGCACGTGCCAGGTGCTCCAGAAGAGCTGGGCAGAGGTATCAGGGGCTGCCATGTCCCTGGCCTGAAACATCATTGCTGCTGGAGCTATGTGCAGCTTCCTGGTCTGGGGACAGGTCGGGGTTGGCATGTGGGGACACGTGGAGATCCACAGGGACCATGGGGATAGGTGGAGCTTGAGGGAATGCATGGGGGCTATGGGGACATGAGGGACTGTGGCTGTGGGAGCTTGTGGGGGTTGAGGGGACCCATGGAGGCCATGGGGACATGTCAGGGCTGTAGGGACACATGCGGGCTATAGGCACACATGGGGACCTGGGAGGCCATGGGTACCCATAGGGGCTGTAGGGACACGTGGGGACCTGTGGGGTCCATGGAGATCCACAGGAGTCATGGGGCCTTGTGTGGGCTACAGGGACATGTGGGGACCTGTGGAGGCCATAGGGACACATGGGGGCTATAGGCCCAAGTGGGGGCCACGGGGACCCATGAGGGCTATAGGCACAAATGGGGGCCAAGGGGACCCATGGGTGCTGTAGGGACACGTGGGGACCTGTGGAGGTCATGGGGGCCCTGGGGACCCACAGGGACCATGGGGACATGTGGGGGCTGTGTGAACCCATGGGAGCCATGGGGACCTGTGGAGCTTGCAGGGACCCTCAGGAGCCATGAGGACATAAGGGAGCTGTGGGGACATGTGGGGACTGTGGGGACCCATGAAGGCCGTGGTGACACATGGGGACCTATGGAGGCCATGGGGACTTGTGGGGATACATGGGGCCCATGGGGGCCCACGGGGACTTGCAGGGACCCGTGAAGGCTGTGAGGACATGTGGGGGACTTGTGGGGACCTGTGGAAGCCATGGGGACACCTGGGGCCTTTAGGCGTACATGGGGATCTATGGAGGCTGTGGGGACCCGTGGGAGCCATGGGGACCTGTGGGGGCTGTAGGGGCACACGGGAACCTGTGGAGGCTGTGGGGACCTGTGGAAGCTGTGGGGACCTGTGGAGGTCGTGGGGACCTGTGGGGGTTATAGTGACACGCAGGGACTCATTGAGCCTGTGGTGGCTGTGGGGACATGTGGGGGCCATAGGGACACACAGGACCCACAGAGCCTGTGGGGGGTCTGTGGGGGCTGCGGGACACAGGAGGTCCGTGGGGACCCACGGAGGCTGTGGGGACATGGAG